GCCCACTTGGACTGTACTAACACACTGCCCTGTGTGAGCTATTTCAGTTTTGGTAGAGATTCCGGTCTGTAAGAACAAGAGGGTTACCAAAGGTCAGCAACTAAACAAAAGTGTGTGTCAATCTAATCCTGAATTCAAACCAGAAATATCAATACCAACAAAGTGCAATCTGGAGTTCCAGAGGAATCCATACCCTAATTTTTCCTCAAGGGATCAATTTCAAAAATTTGAAGTTAATGGCAAATAAGACTTCATTTTTTTTTTCTTTTGCAGTACTAAAGATTGAACCCAGGGCCTCTGCATGTTACGTCCCTCTGAAGAGCTTGAAATTGTGATCTTCCTGCCTCAGTCTCCCAGAATGGCTGAATTAACAGACATGTACCATCATGCCTGGTTGTGATCATCATTTCAAAATTATACATCTAAGGTCGGGTGTGTTGGCACATACTGTAATCCTACCACTTGGGAAGCTGAGGAGAGAGGATCCCTGTGAGTTAGAGGCCAGCTTGGGCTACAAAGCGAGTTCAAGGCCAGCCTAAACTGCATAGTGAAACCCTGTCTCAAAAAGCCAAACAAAGAGAAACGTGTGCATCTGATGTCTCCTGCCATGGTGCCTCACACAACATCTCCTCAGTTTCTATTTCTAGCAAAGAAAGAAAAACACACAAAGGCAAATAGCAGACATTTGGATCAACTGAATCCTAGTTCTTCCACTAGCATATTTAAAGGAATAAATATTTAAATCATGCGCCACAATGCTCCAAGACATTAAACACAGATGGCACCATAATTTGATCATTCCTTCAAAATCCTATTAACAAGTTTTAAATCAACAGTCTTACAGAAAATAAAGACTATTAAAGAGAAAGTGACTACTGTTATTAATGACATTGTATGAGCATAAATGTCATGAGGGAGTTTAAAATTTGAAGTTCTCTGAGGGTTTTGAAGTAATATGTTACAAACTATGCAACTGAGATAAACATTATTCAGAAGACTATAGCTTGATATATATTAATATATATTACTTCTCAATAATTTGGCTCATTGTATATAACAAACTAAACTGATTTTAATTTTACTCCAATTAAGTAAAATTAAGCTTCACCAATTAAGTCAGTTAGCTGGATCTAGACATAATCATTAAAAAAAGTATGGTGACAGCATTTTCATTAACATATATGCTGAATGTTGTTTTATATACTATACACTAAAATCTGTACATAAGCATATTATCAGTCTATCAGCTGTCATTCTTAATGAAAGAACAGTCACAGCTGGCTGCGTAACATAAAAGCCTCTTGGTCAGGCTTTTCATGTAATGGCAGAGGAATACACAGCCACAGGACTAACCATAAAGACCCTGAGACAGGATACCAAACTAGGCATGTGGTAGTGTTTCCAAGTAAGAAGCAGAAAGAGATGCTCCCACAGACCAGAATGAGCTAAGCTGAGCTCACGGGCAACCAAAATACACAAACGTGTACAGGTGATTACGCACGTGTACGTGTATAACTAAGACGCAACCGCAGAATAAAGAATGAATATCTCAAATACATACTTCTAAGCTTTGTGTACGTGTATTATATACAACTGGGAAACCATCAATTATCATTTCTAATTTTGTTATTTTACATTCTTTTTAGATGATAGTAATAAAAAAGACCTTATTTTTAGCACTCCAAAAGATTCCCCATGTTCCTTTCCAGGTTAAACTATTAATGGACCTGGGGGCCGGGGTAATGGCTCAGTGGAATAAGCGCTTCCCTGGCAAGTACAAGGGCCTGAGTTCAATCTCTGATTCCACCCAAAAAAAAAAAAAAAAAAAAAAACTATTAATGGACCTCTATTTTAATTCTGTCTTTTCTTGACTATCAAATTGAAGTTATCATACAACTACACACTGGTATTTGGCTTTTTTAGCTTCATATTTAGCTAGAAGTATTAGCTATTTAGATGTGTTTATGTGAAACACATCTATGTTGTGTGTACACACAGTCTGTTCTTTTATTGCTAAGAACACATCCTAAGTTATCCATTTTACTGCTAAAGAGTATCTGGGTTGGTTCTAGTTCGGGGCTGTAATGATTAAGCTCCAATAACATATCCTATATACCTCTGTGGATGTATGCATTGCATGTGGTTTTTTTTTTTTTTTTTTGAGCGCATACTTAGAAGTACAAATGCTGGGTCATTATACAGTTCTGACAAATAGCATTTCTCTTGAAATATTAATGGGAAAGACGTATCCTTCAACATGCAGAAAGGTTTGTTTAGCTTTCATTTTCTGTATTACAAACATTTAAATTGGTTAGGCTCTGGAGCAATGAACCCATCCTCATTCAATAAATCATCTAGGAGACTTTTTAAAAATAGTAATTCCTGGATTTATTAGGAAAATAAAAAATTATGTAAATAAGGTATTATTTTATATCACCTTTATTTAAATTACTATCACTTAAAGTAAAACTAAAGTCGAGGATGTTGACTCATTTTTTAGATCCTTCTTTCTTCTCCTACTGGGCTTCTATGGAGAAGTTCTTTTTTAAATATGGCAGTCACTACATCCAAAGACATTAACAAATCCAACTCCTAACAATGTTTTCAGAATTAAAAGATTTCCCTTGAAGAGGAATAATAAAAGCCCTACAGGGGGTGAATATCTGGTACCACATGTATGCTGCCCCAGCCCTGTCCCCAAATACTCTGAGCCACAGACTCAGCCCCAGCATGGTGGTGCACACTTGTAATCTCAGTACTGGGGAGGTTGAAAACAGGAGGATCATTATAGAACCTGTACCAAATAAATTTTTTTTAAAAAGCCCTACATAGCAATGTCATCATCAGAAACAGTGAAAAGAAAATCTCATTATAGGTGTAAAGCTAAGATTATGACTTCTTTCAAAAATAATGACAATCTCAAACTTATCACTTAGCTAAAATGATAATGACCATGAAAACATCAAAGCCTTATGAAAAACTTTTCAAACAAATAATAAAACAGCACCAAATTATCACCATCCATGGTGTTTTGTTTTGCAACACCAGGAATACAACTTAGGACCTTACACTTGCCAGGCAGGTGCTTATGCCATTAAGCTATCTCGCCGGCCCCCATCACCATCCATGGACAAAAAGGTACATAGTTAGAATTTAATTTCTAGTCATATAATAGGAGTGGGAAAAAAAGCTGAATAAAGGTTTGAGCAAATTTATGGGTATCATAAATTACCAGAAAGAAGATGGATATAGTGTACACCTGACATGAAACTGACATCAAAGAAGATATAACTGAAGGCATACAACCTGAGCAGACATGGCTATTTTTCAACAATGGAGCCAACAATATGTGCTTCAAGCCTGAGCAACCACTCAAGTTGATACAATACATATCAAAAAGACTGACTTAGATGCAGAAAGTCAGAGAATGATTAAACCAGAGGCAGGAAACATAAGAACCCATACATGAAAATATTTTCAACTGTGAGGAGGCTGCAAAATACCACAAAAATAGTGCTGGCCTCATACCAACCAATGACCAACTGCTTAGGTCATCAAGACATCTGCACAGTGTCCAAAAGGTCACTAAGGGAGACCAAAAGCATATTCCTCTTGCCTGAAAGGGCTGCTAAGGTGCAGTAAGAACCCACAATCTTCCTGATACATCATAGTGATCACGAATAGCTTTTCTAGGCTGCCCCTAAGATTCTGTCTGTGACCCCATTCCCTCTAAGCAAAACAAGGGAGCCTTTTCCTTTTTACACACGATGTGCCAGCTTTGGAGCTACAGTTTCTTTTATAAAAACTCAGTACCTTATGATGGATCTTTCAACAAGTGCTTGTTTTCTTTAAAAAAGTAATATCTATCCACCAAAATCATCACTTTTATACCTAAATAGTCATATTCACACAATACAGAAAGTTCTTCATACTTTTAAAGTATACTTTAAACATCAAAATAAAGTTTAAATTCAACATTTCCTTCATCTTTGATTCCAAATCCCAATTAAAAAAAGTAAACGTCTGGTTCTTTGCTTTTAATCCACATAATCCTCTAAAATTCAACCCATCAAAGCATGCAAATAAAATAGCTTTATATATTTAAGAGAGATAAACTGATTCAGCAAGGTGATCAATCAATTTCCAATTACATGTGACATCTCAACAGGATGACAAGGCACCTACGTATAACTGCCATTAGCCACCAAATGAGGGAGCTCATCTTCTAAGAGTTCCACAAACTTCCAGAGTATGTAAATTAGTACAATCATTCACTCAGAAAAGCAGCACTTACTCTTGCAATAATAGATCACTTGGGCATGCTGCACAGCTACAATTCAAAAAGAATACACATAGGATTGTTTTAAATGCTCCACTTAAAGTCAAATCAATGTCTATAATTAATTAAGGAATTGTAATTGTACAGATTTATACAGATCTTTAACATGGAGTTTTGATACCCAGCTAAAACATGTATAATAGATTCACTCGAACTGTATAATATATGTGCATAGCTATTCATATATATATATATATAGAAATAGAAATACATATATAGAACTCTCTACAAGTTCACCCTTACAATTT